CAGAGGTGCTGGAGAACACCAGCAGCTCAGAAACTGACCCCAAGGCAGAAAGCAGGGGAGTTGAAATACTGCTGCCTTTTATGCATTTTCTCTGGCCCTCCCCCAGAGCACTGGGATTGGAAGGGACCTCAGAGAATGCTGACAGGTCACTGGCCAGCCACACGTCAGTCATGAAAGCACTCCTTCCCCACCCCCGGGAATCCAGTATAGGCAAGTCGAATATTCGACCCGCGCTGTTAATATTCAGCTTCCGGTATTCGATTCGACAGCTATTCGACCAGCTGCTATTCGACTCAACTTTCACTTTTCAGGGTCAAATATGTCGAATATTTGTCGAATCGAATATTAAGTCGAAGCTTTGCACAGCCCTAGTGTTCAGATGCCCCAAAGCAAATGGTGACCTAAGGCAAACATGCCTCCTAACGCCCCACATATCTACACCCCTGGTCCTGCTTGACAAGCTTTGCATTCTTATTTCTACATCTACTTTCTTGATGACTTGTGCTATTATTGGCTAATAACAAGCTGTATTCTTCCCTCCCTCCAGGACCACACACACTTGCCTGGGACCAGCAGGAAGATGCACAGTCCAAGACACTCCAGAGACCTCTCACTAATTAAACCTCTGAAACTTTCCATAACTCTGTCCCCTTACATAAGCATCAGCTCTCAGCTGTTCCTGATGTCTCTGCAAGAGGGGAAAGAAAACTACTGGTTGAGTCTCCACTCAGAATTTGACAGCTACTCGGTAAAACCTTTTATTATTTGTTTATTGAGTCACCTAAACCAAGAGGTTCTGAATTGGGAAGCAGCCAACGGTAGTGAAATACACTTGGATTGCTAAACCTTCTTTCAGCAGTGATAGTTTCTCGGTGTGGTACATCAGGGAGAATGCAAGTATTGCTGTTCTAGCCACAGAGCTGTAAAAATATATTTAAAGTTTACAAATAGAAAATAGAGCCACATCCTGGGTGCTTACTAGAACGGGGCACTGCAGAAAATAAACAAATAAAAAATAAAAACCAATACACCAAAACCATAGATTAATTGCCAACTAGTTACTAAATAATTACACAGCTACTCATTAAAATGAGTAGAATTATCTGCTAATAAAAATTAAATGATGGTGGCTCAGTTTCATATTGATGACCTTATCACAGTAAGATATACAACTACAGAGAGCAAGCTTATCATTGGTTATGTTTTCAAGTTGCATTATAACAGGATAGAAATGTTTTGATTGGTTGGGCTGAAACTGTCCCACCTGGATCTTTTCTTATATCTCTCAATGAAAGTTCAAGTAGTTTTTTTCCTAATGTAGATCTGAAAGGGAAAAAAACCCCATCAATGGGGTCTATAAACTAAGCCTCATAAGAAACTTCACAACAAACAGCTGATGGCCATAACTTTTGATCTAGCTGCAATGATGAAACCAGTACCTGTGAGGCCAACCCCAATTGGACTATCAAAGCTAAAAGTTTGGACCTCTAATACTTAGCTCCAGGACTAATGTCCTTCACTAGCATCTGTAGAAGAGTTACTTGTCTCTTATGGGAACTAACCAGCAGAAACAAAAAAGACCTGCATTTTTCTACATAAATACAGATACAGCATAGCAGGTGTGGGTAATCCCCTAAAAACCAAAAAAGGAGGCAAGGAAGACAGCTTCAGGTTTCCAAAGGGGTGTTATTGATCAAAATAAGACTGGTTTTGGAAAAATAAGTGTGATGAATCCATAGAAACGTTCTTAGTATTATTCATTTCATTATATGGCTCTCATTTCATTATATTTACAT